ACCATCTGGTCATTCAGTCTTTAGTCTACAACACTATATAAGATCATCTATTGTAGAAGAAATTTACCAACTGTGTTTAAACATACAGCATAATCCTTTCCTTCATATACTCTGTATAATGTATAGTACAGTATTCTTACTGTAGCCTTTATTCATAATGTTTTCAGAGAATTAAAGATTTGCTAAATCACATTTGAATGTTAATATAAAATATCATACCATGTTATTCATGCAAAATTAAAAAAACAAAACGAATATACTAAACATGTGAGTAACGCCGTAATGTAGCAGGTTTTTGGTGGCCGGGCGTTGTCTTTACTAAATGGCCACAATTTTCACTACCTGGTTTGCCCTCTCACCAGGACGTCACTGGAGACAGACAATCCATAACTGAACTCATGAAAGCATAATAAGAGATCAACACCAGTCTTATTGTACCAAAAAAGAACAAATATTTCATATTGCCAAAAGAAGGTCTCGACCATTCACAGGCGTGTATACAAACACTCGCAGGTTAATGGGACAAATCTACTGTACATGATGTCTATAGATCCATGGAGCCAGGCAGGTCAACACAGATCACAATATCACCTTTCAGTGACAAACATACGAGCAGGGCGTGTATCTAAGGGTACAATACATTGATGTGTCGCCATGTGTGTACTGTTAACGTGTGTGTGTGGTTTTTCTTGCACATTATTCTGATGGTCAAAATAGAATAGGATCGGGGTCTCTATGCGAGTACAGTATATACTCATATATATTTTTCCCCTCTTTTACACTATCGTAAGGGCACACAGAAGCCAGACTCACAATCAACACAACATTTCCATCACTGTAACTTCCACTATAATAACTGTATTTAACTCTTATTGTCGTGTTCCTAAAATTTTAGTCCAGTATGTTGGTTTGGTGAAATAACGGTGATGCTGGTGTACGAATGGTTCCTTTATACCTTCTTGTTTTAATGACTATTCCTAAGACTTTATTGAATAAGAACAGTATTTTCATTGTTTTAAAGGAGCATAGGCCTATTATGGTTAATTTGTGCTTCTATAATTTTCACTATTTCAAACTGTTTCGGCATTGTCTAAGAATATTTTTAATTCGGTTTAGTCCTTGCCTGTGGGATATCATATATAACGAGATGTGTTGATGGGTTATGGGAGACTGTGGTTTTGCCCTAGCCATATAATACAATATTTATTGAATGTGTTATTTTGGCTATTAAGAAGACTGTTCATCGTTTAATTCCTGCCTGTGGTACGCCTAGCATATTATAGTCATTATCAAGTGGCCTATTGTTGATTCAAGTGTAGTACTGTTATGTTATTCTGCCAAACTTTCCTGTAGGACCTTATGTAGTTGCTCCTGTATCCTGTACTTGCTACTTGAATTTACGTGGACTTTTGAATTACAGTGGCTGAACGAGTCACTCATCAGTCCAACCTGTGTTACAGTTCAGGTTACAGTGACTCAACCTAGCTACAGACTATGTTACAGTGACCCACTTTGGATACGGTTAAGATTACAGTAACTCACCAAGCCCAGGACACGGTGTAGTAAACGCTGTAGGTTCCACTGGCGGTGACATCACGGCCTTGGAACATACGAGTGTATAGAGCTTCATCAGCCAGAGTGAGCGACAGCAGCAGCAGAAGGCACAGTAGTAGTTGTGGTGAAAACGTCCTCATCCTTGAACAGTGGTCGTCTGTCACTCTCTGTTTGTGTAAGACGTGAATGTGTCTAAAATGTTGAAATCAGAATCTTGGAGACGAATAAGTAGTTTCGATGCAAGTTTTGTTTCCATATTTGTGTCATAACAGAAGTGTCTAGGTTTGATGTTTTCCCACAGCTTCGTACAATAATTTTCTTACCTCTTTCCTGAGACTTCTTAAGCTGCGACACACACGTGGATCTCCTTAAGCTGCGGCACACACGTGGATCTCCTTAAGCTGCGGCACACACGTGGATCTTCAAAGATTCATATATTAGTTTTTACTGCTTGCGGGTATGTGAGAGCCCTTCCAGCTATTCTGTTCGAGCTACTACACAAATATGGAAGTAAAAATGGTATGATAATAGAAATGAGACTTCATCGTCACTCTGTGAGTTCTCTCCTTCCTAGTTAAGATGAGAAAATGATTAATGAATCTTTAAGAACATGACCGACTAGGGAACTGATAAATTACGGTGAGGAAGAGTGCATCAACCATTGAGGATTGGCATGTAGGTCAGTTTAACTTGACAGTAAATATCTGGTGGACGGGAGGAGCCCTGGCAGGTCCTACAAGTTGAGGGATAAAGCAATGTTCAAGGAGGAATGACGCTGCCTGATGCTCGTGATACCTGAAAAGTTGAACCTGTTCCAAGCTCGACTGAAAAAGTCTTCCTCCAACCACCAGTGGAATCTTCCCACGCAGGTTGTGGTAAACAACCAATCACGATACAGTTCTTCATGACTCCTCCCCAAGATGAGGTTCTCAACCAATCACAATAAGTACTGTACAGTACATGATGGTCTCCTTCGTAGGGCTTTGTCCGGCAGCCAATGACAACACTGACCAGGTCCAGAATAACTTGGCACTTCATCTATGTTATCCTGTGTAACTCATCACAAAGGCCTCCATAAATCCCCCCTGACAAGTGTGCAACAAGAAGTATTAGAACAGTGGTGTAAATCAGAACGTCAAGAGGTAATATCGCTCTAGTGAGCGACAATGATGAAAAACATGGACTTGAGGCGCTATAGGCGGACAGTGCTACAATACACGTCAACAGCAATTATCAGGAATCGTAACCATAAAAAAATCAGGTGTTGACTTTAGTTAACAGTACAGTAATTTACACAATGAATATGGACTCGGCTGCTACACTTATTCTTGAACTTGATATTTTAAGAAAATCTTTTACTGGTGGTGTTGAGTACCTATTCGATAGGGCCGGGAACCCGACGCCGACGGGGCCTTTTTTGTTTTATCCTCTTCACCACTGATCGGCTCGTTAGCCCCTTGGGCGATCGGTCACGTCTCTGTTACTTGTCTTTTTCTTTTATCCTCTTCATCAAATGATCGGCTCGTTAGCCGCTTGGGAGATCGGTCACGTCTCTGTCACGCACTGTTGGCAAATACTGGACATGCACCGGCTCCTGAATGTACCTGAACCCGCTCCAGTGTTGGTCAAGTCTGGTCTTGAAAGAGCTCACACTCGGTGCCGTCACAACACTTTCTGGTAGATTGTCCCAAGAGTTCACAACTCTTCACTCCGAAAAAGTTTGCCCTCACAGTTTTCTGGACTTGCGGCTTCTTCAATCTTGAGCTGTGACCCCTTGTGGGACGAGTGTCCGCCAGCTCCAAGTAAGGACATTCGACTGAGCAATGCTCCTTGAGATGCTTATACACCTCAACTAGGTCACCCGTTGCCCCTAAACGCCTCTGTTCCTAGGAAAACTTTTCCAGAATGGAAGTAACTGGTCTCTGGCACTCAGCTGTGTAAGTTTCTGCGGTAACATCTGATGGAAGCTTATTATCTGTAACTATATTGTTAGTTATTGAACATAATATTATAAACATAACACAAAACTTGTAAACGCGGGCTACCCGCTTACGCCAGAAGCGTTTCTTAATCATTATCGTCAAAAGTAATTCAACAAATCAGCTCTTCTTATTATACTAAGTTGACGTCACATATCTCAGCAGCCATTCCTTCGGCTCCAGGAATGGTCGAAGGAATGGCTGCTGAGATTCAATGTCACGAAGTGTAAGAGGATGCACCTGGGGCGTACCAACGGTAAGGAGGCGTACCATATGTCCCAACGGGATGAAGAAAATGTACTAGTTGAGACTGTGTGTGAGAAGGACCTAGGTGTGTATGTTGACAATGAGCTGAAGTTCTCGGGCCATTGTGAGAAGAAGGTAAATCAGGCAAATAAATTATTGGGTCTTATAAGAAGGTCGTTCAGATATCTAGACGGTCCGTCCCTCGTGACGATCTTCAGGAGTGAAGTGCTTCCCCATCTGGAGTACTGTCACCCCATCTGGTCCCCGAGATATGCTAGGGACTGTCAGTTGGTTGAAAATGTTCAAAGGAGGGCCACCAAGCTGGTGCCTGCACTTCGGCATCTCAGCTACCCTGCGAGATTGGAGCGCCTGAACTTGCCTAGCTTATACTACAGACGGGCAAGGGGGGACCTAGTTGAGGTTTATAAGCATCTCAGGGGGCACTACTCAGTTGAGTGTCCTTACTTGGAGCTGGCGGACGCTCGCCCCACAAGGGGTCACAGCTCAAGATTGAAGAAGCCGCAAGTCCGGAAAACCGTGAGGGCAAACTTTTTCGGAGTGAGGGTTGTAAACTCTTGGAACAATCTACCAGAAAGTGTTGTGACGGCACCGAGTGTGAGCTCTTTCAAGAGAAGACTTGACCAACACTGGAGCGGGTTCAGGTACATTCAGGAGCCGGTGCATGCCCAGTATTTGCCAACAGTGCGTGACAGAGACGTGACCGATCGCCCGGGCGGCTAGCGAGCCGACCTTTTGGTGAAGAATATAAAGAGTCGTGACCGATCGCCCAAGCGGCTAACAAGCCGATCAGTGGCGAAGAGGATAAAAGTAAAAAAAAAGTAAAATCTGAGTTGGATTTTAATGTGAACGAAAAGACTGTAAAGCAATTTATTTAGCTGAATATTATAGGACACAGTGGCGTCTCTCTCACTGATCGATATAAAAACAGTCCAATCCAACCATCTTAAAATTTATCGACTCATAATTAAATAGCCTGTGTGTTAACTCCCTTCCGTACTGTTACTGTGCTGAAATACCTCGTTAAATGACCGCCCCTTCCCCCACCATTGTCATTACAGTATATATTATATTTATACCACCTTCCTCGCTGGACAATAAAGTTCATAACGAAGAACAGACCAACGGGACGAACGACTAGTGAAGTGTTAAGGTACAGTAATGATAGAGTTAATAGATGGGAGGACAGTAGCACCCCTGGCACCCCTGCTGACGACAGGTGAGAGGATCAGCTGACTACTGTAAACACGGGAGGGGGCGGAGACCTCACACCACGGGTTAAAGAGCAGGAATAGGTCAACAAACAGCAAGAATATAAGAAAAATAAGACCAGAGGAGCAGGTATTCTCAACATAAAGAGAGAGGAACAGTGGAGAAGAGTAGCCATGATCTCTACTGAAAATAAGATTCGTTCAAACAGTGCCAGAGAGGGACAGGTAAGGAGGCTCTTGTTTGTGTATGTTAACATTCATTTATCTTTAATACACAGGTATTCATGAAATTAAATAGTAATTTTTGTTTAAATATGTTACCTTTGCTACAAATTGACATAGTATTTTGACGTATTTATCTTCAAAATTAATGTACAGACTATTTTTGCTTTACCTAATAGAATAAAATTTGGTTTACTGATCTGAAACTCCAAATTTTCACTAACCTTTGGTGAGAACCTGTAGTAGAGGTATACCTGAGTTGTCACCTTAATGAAGGTTTGGATAAAGATTCATTTTATGTCATAACAGGAAATTGATTACTAAAATATGTTGTTGCTTTTGTATTTTTTCCTGTTATAAACAAGTACTGTATGACTTTTATTTCCGTGGGAGGGAAGGTCAGTGGTCTGTGTAGGAACCCTCCATTATTCTTGAATCTTGATAGTTTTCTCTAGATTTGTATTGAAGCCCAGTACTGTACTGTTCTTGCTGCATAGATAATTATAAAGCCTTTCTTAAAATAATAATAAACCAATAAATAAAAAGGACGTACAGCAGTTTTCATATTATTAATTTGGCAATTATGTCCAGCCTAACCTTACCTACTTTATCTATCTAATCTAATCTGCATAACCCAACTTAACCTGCCTATGCTAGGATGGAGGTGCATTATTTTAGGTTAAGTTAGGCAGGTAAGCTAGGCTAGGTAGGTTAGGTTAGGTAAGGTACACTAGGATAGGTAGGTTAGGTAGGTAGGTAGGTTAGGGTGTTATTTTATTAACAATTCATGTGAAAAGTTTGCTCGGAAGTGTTAAATTACTCAAGGTTAAGTCACTCACTGGGAAGCACATCAACAGTTTAACCATAAACCCTTTGGATGTGTATTTGTAGTTGTGAAGTATTATGTATTGTTCTGTCATTTTTAATCTCAGTTTCTTGTTGTTGTTTTTACAAGGTTGATGTTGTTAAGGCTGTATACATTGTCAGTATTTGTTCTTCCAATATTAAGTATGCTGCACTTGCTGGTGTTGAATTTCATTTGCCATTTTTCAGACCACCCCTGCAGTTTATTTAGATCCTCCTGTAATGCATTTGCATCCTGCCCTGAATTAATCTGCCGCCCTATTTTGGTGTCATCCGCAAACTTGCTTATGTCACTGCTGATCCCAGTATCTAGATCGTTTATGTAGATTATGAACAAGAGTGGGCCTAGTACTGACCCCTGGGGAACCCCACTGGTTACACGGCCCCACTCAGATTTAACACCATCTACGCTGACCCTCTGCGTTCTATCGGTGAGCCATGATTTTATCCAATTTAAAACTTTCCCCTCGATACCATGAGCCTTAATTTTTCTCAGAAGCCTCTGATGCGGTACTCTGTCAAATGCTTTGCTAAAGTCTAAGTAAATAACATCGTAATTTTCGTCATTGTCTACTACCTCAGACTTTCCTAAAAAGGTCAGATTTGTTAGACAAGATTTTCCCTTTGTAAACCCATATTAAGTCGTAGATTAATTTGTTTTTCTTTAGATGCGATCGGATGCTATCTGCTATAATTGATTCAAGAAATTTCCCCACTACTGACGTCAAACTAATCGGCCGGTAATTTGACGCTGATGCTCTGTCTCCCTTTTTGAATATGGGTACTACATTTGCCTGTTTCCACAAGTCTGGCACAACTCCGTGTCTAATGATTTTGTAAATAAATTTACGAGGGGTCTGCTAATCTGTTCCTTACACTCTTTCAAAACTCGAGGGAAAATTTCATCTGGCCCTGGAGATTTTGTCTTCTTTAATTTATTTATCTTCATAAGAACATCCTCTTTTCTGATAGTGATATCCTTTAGTTTCTCTTCTTCCTTTCCCCTAAATGTCAGTTCCAAATCTGGCGTTTCCTCGTGAATTTCTTCTGTGAAAACTGATAAGAAGTAGCTGTTTAATGCTTTGCTTATTTCTTCACTATCTTCGATCACTTCCCCTCTCTCTGACTTTAAAGGCCCCACTTTGTCCTTGACCTTTGTCCTATATACCTGGAAAAACCCCTTGGGATTCGCCATTTGGTTGCCTGCACAATCTAACATCTCCAAGTTAAGAGAAATAATGTTCAAAATTACACTGCCAGGTGGATGTCCGGGAAGATGAGGATCAGGGAGTTAAACTCTCAGAGATTATTGAACTCCTCGTCGCTGCTGGGTACTTCAGGGCTCGCATCAAGGGTCTCTCTCCATTTGACAAGGTAGGATGTGTTGTTAAGCCGAATTCTAAAAACTTTATCGTTTACTCTTGCCTTACCACCCACCATATATGAAGAATGTGTCATTTATGAAGTCGTAAGATGATGAGTGACCATATCTTTGCACACACATTAGAGAATAAATCTTACTCACTCTTACATGTTCTTGTGTAAACTTATTTCTTGTAGGGCATCATTTCAGTGCTTTACAGGTATATACTATAAGTGTGCATTTAGCATATTCTCCAGTTGCTATAGCTTGTTAATTTGTTCATGTAAATCAGTTAATCTTATTTATACAAGTATTTTTATTTTGTGAACAGGGATTACTTTCATATTTCGTAATAGATGACCCTTAATTTATATGCAGTATACTTTATAGCATGTATTGCAGAGTATACTTTATATATTTGAGAAATAAATGAAATACAGTAAAGTACTCTGGTATACAATGGAAAACCCAGGAATTGCTCTAAGAAGGACCCTGTATTAACTTGAAGGTGCAGGATTAATATATACTGTAGGTGTCTGCAACATGATCTTCTTCTGTACTGTATATTGCTGCAAATACTGACCCACATAACCACAAGATTGGAGGCTAACGAAACCTTTATTGTTCTCATTGAATAAACTTTACTTTTTCTTTTATTTTTCCCAGATAGTTGGAGGGATGACTTGGTGTATTGAGACGTGCAACTTTGATGTGGACGTTGATCTGCTTTTCCACGAGAATCTTACCATTGGTCAGAAAATGTGAGCGTAGGGAGGATTTTTGTTTTTAATTTGCTTGCCCAGTATTGTTTTCCATATGTCAGATACAGTACTTGGGTAAGATAATCTATGTCAGTACTCTATAATACCTTCTTTTCAGCTGAAGGAACTTATTTATTGTATATATAAAGGCTCTAAATTATTTGTTTACTAAGGATGTAAATCATTGACTATCCTGGCAGAGCTCTGACGGAGAAAATAGTACGAGTGGTGAGATCGATGAAGTGTCCTCATAGACTAGAGCCTCACCAGATCCAAGGATTGGATGCTATACACGTCTTTCCAGTCATCCAGGTATGTGAAATATTCATCTTACAGAACTGTGGTGTAAGTGCTTCAACATCTTCAAATAAAAGGTCTATTTGAAATCTGAATTAGTAGAGGATATGATGGTATTAGAGGAAATTGATATTGACAAAAACTTTGTTCACATGGGGAACTTCAAAACTGTTTTATTTGCAGTAATGCACTCAGCTGTTGAGATACACAGTACAGTATACTGTATACTGTATTATATACAGTAATCAACACTAATAATTTTTTCCTAAAGGCAATCAATTCTGTTATTTATTCATTGTCTTACAGTGGCTCGTCAAAAAGGCCCTCGAAACAAGAGAAGAATTTGGTGATGAAACTCGAAACTTCTCCGTTCTCCAGTTCTGTCACTACTACACTACTCCTCAAGAAGAGAAACTAAAGGAGTCGTTGGCTCAGGCTACTCACACATTATCTGCTGTACATGTATGTATTTGGGACAGTTATTGTTATGCATTGTGTGGTACTTTGTCATTTTTAATAATTATTTACAACTTTAGAGTGTGGTTGGCTTAGGTTACCTTAGTGGCAGTCTTTTTTAATCTTCACTGTAAGTGTTTATTGCAAACATATATAAGAAAACTTTAAAGAATAATAAGCCTAGACTACATTAAATGCATAAATAAAGAGCTGTCTTTCACTCTTGTGATGACTGCATGTACTGGTTCTTTGTACTGTGGATGGAGTGTTTTTTTTACATGTTGTTTTTCATTAATGGCCAGCCACCCTTCACTAGATAATTCAAGTATAATGTACAACTAAATCAGGGGTCACTTTCTCCACAACTTTCATAACCTGGAAAACCAATGTGGCTGATGAATGAGATGAGCATTAACTAATGTAACTAATTTGACATGACATGCTTCAATCAAGACAACTACTGCAAGGGGGAGGTTTACTTATCATTCATATTAGTCCCAGACATTCCTAGGTGGCTTAGTGCAAGGAGGTTGAATGGATGGAGGCGGTGTTTGCTGTGTATGTAACAGAGGCTGGCATGCTGGTGAGGGCAACAAGGCCACAGTTGCCCCGGCTACTTACGAACAAGCATTGGTTACAGATAACTCTGCAGGATTTATACTATTGTTTTATTTATTATGCACATTATAGAGGGATCAACCAAGGAGGATGAAGTCACTGAGAGAAAAGTGGCGCTATATTGGTAAAGCCATCAGTCACACTCAGTGACTTCACTTGAGGCAGCAGGTGCTGCCTCCATCCATTCAACCTCCTTGGCTTAGTGTGTGTATTGTACCTAACTCTCTACTTCTGACCTCAGCCATAAAATGGGATTTTAGGATTTTTCATTTGTTCATCGCAACATTATTACATTGCAATTATACTGTATACTGTAACTGATATTTTGAAAAGTTGGTAAGTTGTGAAGCACAACATTGATATTTGACTGGTGTGGATATTCTGATTCACTTACAATGAAAATTAATGTTCTGTATTTCATTTTATCTTTTTTATGAGGCTTAATACAACTTAGCTGTGATTGTTTTAGTAATCAGAATAAAGACAATTGAATATAAATAGTTTTATAAAAGGGAAAAAATAAACATAAAGAACTGTACTTTGGTTCAAAAGTGACCATACATAATGTTTCTATTGAAGTACAGTACTATGCAGTAGTTAATTAATATTGGTAACCACAGATTATATTTGTAATTATTAATGTATGGGATCACTACTCTAGTCAGCATATGGTCCAAAGCGAAGGTGGAGAAGGAAGGATTCAACCCCAATAGAGTTGTCAAGCATGCGAGTACAGACCACTCTGTTGGAGTACGGCCATCTGAGCAAGGTAACTAATTTGGTTTAATAATTATGAGTAAGATTTAAAAAAATTTCCTTTGGAGGTACAGTATTATGCACTTAATTATATACGGACTGTTGTATTGGTAAGGATTCACACAATTTATCATATGTAAATTGAGGATTTGGGCAAGTGCGTAAACAGTACCATTGTGTGGAAAATTTATCAGAGATTATGAGATTAATGCTTGATTATACTGTATACAGTACAGTGCCTGATTACCTGTACAGTACATAGAGAAACGTCCACGTGTATAACTGCTTGCATTTAGTATACAGTATACAATCAGTACTTTAACAATGGCACATGGTCCTGCACATAGATCTCTGGATACAAATCTTAGCATGTCCCAGTACAGAGGACACACACACACACACACACACACATGTACACACTGTGTACTATTTACATTTAATCAGTAAATATCATAATCATTTTCTCGTTTTCTCCTGCAGCAAGATGGTCAGGACCAAACTGACACTGCCAACAGTGAGGTAAAGTACACTACACCAATACTGTCTACTGTCTCTGGTGCCTGCCTTCACTCCTGTTTTATTTATCAATCTGCATTTTCAGGCTGTTTGATTTTTCATCTATTTAGTTCTTATTTAAGTCTACTTGGAAGTGGAACTAAATTTAACTAATAAATAATGGACCCAAATATGCATCCATATTGTTGACAAACTCTTTCCCACTACAGTTGTTCCCTAGATTATATTTCCTGTTTTGAATGTAAATATAACTTAAATACAGGAATATAATTTGTACCATCATCTATCCTAATCTACAGTTTTTCTTAACAGATATGTGCATTTTATAAACATATGCCTTTTCTTTATAAAGATATGCATACATTTCATTAAAGTACGCTACATTTTACCAAAGTACAGTACACCCATATACTATATTTTATAAAGGTACCATGTATCTATTTTGGTATATCAGCAGTATTTTCTTTTGGATGGTTAAACCTTAATATCAGATGATCACTTTAGTGTATTGTTGACTTTAAATTGAAATACTGTATTATAATTATACACACCCCAAAAAATCAGTTAATTCCTTTGAAGGGATGTACAGTATTGTTTGAAATTTTCACCAGTATTATAACATATTAACAGTGTTCATATTGATCTATGTACAGTAGACTCTTGATTACCTGTAGTGGTTATTGGACTCATGAATAACTTTTGTCATATGATGTTTTATTAGAAGTACAGTGTCCCACAATAGTACTGTTGCCTCTCCTCCTGAACCACCAACCCCGAGATTCAGACTCGTAAACCAAGAGTAGTAGACACGGATGTATTATTCCGTCCATAAATGCTTTGGGTTCACAAGAATTATTAAACTATTCTGGAAGTATTTATTACAGCATCCAGACTATTTTTATTTGTTCTATAATGCATGGAAAGTACTTAGTAATTTTTAATACACTGTGTCTGGCAGCCAGGCTGATAATGAGGAACTGTAATTTAAGATGGTGCTTCTGTTGTTGTTATGAAACCCAATATAGATCTTTCACTACCATCAGCTAACATCCTTAATGGAAAACATCACCAATAGAGAATAGTTTCATAAGCATTATAAACATGTTTGGATGAGAGGTTAAGGTGTTGTAGTACTTCCTTAGCTTCAGGAAATGTGCTGGTAGTACATCAGTAACACGTGTATTGTATCTCTCACCAATATGTCATGGGTTGGAGTCCTGCTTGGCCCGGGAGAAGGGTGTTACCCAGTGTGACCCTCACTACTAAACATCACAGGTTTCCTCCAGGCTTCTCCTGTACTAAAACTGGGTAGACCAACTACCCAAATGACGAGTAAGATAATAAAGTGGTGAAATTATAAAAAAAAAGAGAAAAGCATTATTGTGCTACCTCTTGTGCATTGGTTGCCGTGGTAACACCTTAGTCCTGTTAACTCACTTGGAGGAAGCTCACAAACTTCTTCAATGTCCAATTTTTTTGGTTAAGAAATTCCTTTGCTTTAACTGTCAATAACGGAGATAATCAAGAGTCTAATGTGTTGTATATTTACGGTAATGTTGGCTGATGTAAGTTGCATGAATTACACAAAATTAAATAAGAATTGTTGATCATAACGGTTTGATAACTCTGAGACTAATTTTCTGAGTGAAGTGATCTCTCTTAATGCCTGAAGAGACGTCTCGTTACTGAATTTTCCTCATCAGTTGTCAACATAGCAGTGTGATTTTGTTGTGCTTTTAACCTGTGAGTGTTACTGTACAACATCAGATGGCAGAAGTGGAGGAGCTGATGGCAGGGATGGACGTCGCTGAGGTGGTCGAGGTAAGGTTCAGACTCTCGTACAGGGACAAGGATCATTCTGTACTAAGTAAAGTTTCCATCCTTCGTCCAGTCTCTTTCATGCTAAATATTCATATAAATTTGCTAAATTTTTATATAACATTGTTATTGAAAACTGTACTTGATATATTTAATTTTGAATTGATTCCCCAAAATAGATTGGTCCTTCCTTTAGTATACAGTATTAGATATAAAATGTGCATAGAGAAGGAAGAATTATTTACTATAAAGTTATGTTTTTAGATTTAGTATAGATAGAAATGCATACTAAGAACAGTTATATAGATCTGTTATTGATTGATCTGGACATTAGCCTTGTCATCACATCTGAAGTCTTCATTAGTGTCAGCTTATAGAGTACAGTATTGACATTTAGTTGTTATTACTCCACAAAGAACTGTTATAAACCTTTTGTGTATGGGCTTCCCTCTCTGCTGAATATAATTGTCTGGTGTTAACCAAATAAAACATTTAAAAGTAGCATCCCCATAGTGAAGGTGTTAATAACTATCTCAAGTAATAAGATAATGCAAGCATATATGCGTACAATGGTCTTATTGGTAAATGTTATTGCAGGGTAAACTAAGTGCTCATCAGGTTGGCAATATAGTCAGCGCCCGGGTGCAGGAGATCGCTGCCACATCCAAGCACTACTCGGAGCTCCAGCAACAAATTACAGTATGCATTTTATGACTTATTTAACTTTTTACTGTCTGTTTCATTTCCACTTGGCCAAAATAATTTACTCACAATCTTTCCTTCTAACTGGTCTGCAAGATATAAATCAACCACACTGCATTTATAATCATTTTATATTAATATATACATATTAGTTATTACCTCCAACATATTCTTAAAACATCCCACATGTAGTCCTTTGTGATTCTAGCACCTGTACTTTCACTGCCCTGCCATGACCATCACTGTTTCCAGGAGGAGATCGTTGGAGACAGTGCGACCTCTCAGGCCCGTATGTTAGCATCACTGGAAAAGCAACGTTCATGTTTATTGAACCAGCTGGCCGGGTTACAGACTAAGCAAGCCACTGAAACAGCCAAGGTTGAGAAGATGAGATCCAAGCTTCAGGAAGTTAAACAAGAGAGGAGAGAATTAGAGATAAAAGTCAGTGAATTGGGAGGAGTGGATACAAGTGAAAATAAGCAGTGAGTTATGATTTAACCTTATTTAAAACAAGTCTTTTCTTTAGCTCATTATCTTGATGTCCACACAACCTCTGTTTAGGCCTGATCTGTAACAATGCTAAATATTTAATATCGAAAAAGTAATTGAGTACTGTACATAATTATACAAGAACATGTACTATTAGAATAGCATTCACACACAGACATGTACAGTACAGTGTTCACAACATATATTGACACATTTAACCTTTTTACCTGACTTCAACAAAACCACAAGTTGAGGATAAAGAAAACACAAGCAAACTTTTATATTATATTATTTATTATTTTATCATGTTTTCCTATGAGTTTAACATCATTTGAGGTTGATATGGCATGGCTTTGGGAAGTGTTTGGAAATAATAACAACCCATATCAACTGTCAAAATCTTCCTGATCTCCTCTTGCAGGTGAGGTACTGATGATGTGGTCCATATTGACAGCTTGTGTTTTATCTCTTTCCAAACATTTTCTGTTGGGTTGGGGTCTGGTGAGTTCCCGTACCACTCCATCACTTGAACATTCTTGTAGTTGGCAGATGAAAAATTTTGTGCCTAATTCTATAAGGCGAGGAGTAACAGGACTCTTAGTTTAGCATAAGAAAGGCCTCTAATTTCATAACCAGGATCCATAATTTTTTTTTTGCAGATACTTTAACATTGTGTTTACACGTACACAAACGCACATACAATATATTTGATCTATATACATGAAACCATTTCAACAAACACAGATGTACATAATCATCAACCAGTAGGATATGCTTTACTTTATTTATGTCTACAGACTTCTAGAACAATTGTCACAGCTGGTTGAAGAAAATGAAAAATCCAGGAAAAGGGAAACAGAGTTTAAGGACAGCTGCCGCAAGGAGTCCGAGAAGATGAAGAAAGAAATCAGGTAGTGTGTGTTGGCTGTTTCTTGACTGTAAGGTAGTAAACTTAGTACAGTAATGGTAAAACTTGTGAAGGAATAACTGCACTTCACTGTTCTCTTTAAATGTTTACATCACAGTGCAGCAGAATCAACTGTGTTATGTGGACCAGTACAGTACAAACAAAGAGTCTTTGTTTTAAAGTCACTATAGATGTGCAAGAAGTAGAAAGATTATAAATACGGGATAAATAACAAGTGGTGCTGCTTATGATGTTTATTTAAAATGTGCTGTTGGAAAAATTAAGTCCACAGCACTTGACGGACTGTTGTGGAGCCACATTGACTCGCAGCCTAGAGGGAACATTGCACGGAATGCATAGTTTGGTTACTTAAATATTGGTATACAAGACTAAATATCTGGGGGGTGGGGGGGTTCCATTTTGTGGCTTCACACATTTGCATTTAACTTTGCAGTAATCTCCAGACACAACTTAAGGAGGTAGATGTTGGAGATGAAGTGACAGAACGTTGCAAGGGAGAAAAGGAGAAGTACACCAAGATGAGACGGCAGTTAGCCAAGAAAACCAGACAAGTTGAAGCCCTCAAGAGATACATTGATGATGTACCAGGCAGAGCAGAGCTTACACAGTATCAACGAAGATTTATAGAATTATATAATCAAGGTACTGTACTGTATATATTCTTGTAATCTCTAATATAACTTATAAGTAACAAGTTATATGAGTATACACCCCTGTAAGTCCTTATCAAATTTGACTATAGATCCATGACAGAGTTCTGTGATAACAGCATCTGACCATAATCAAAACTCCTTAAATAGTTAATTTTTCAACATGAAGACTGAACTCTTCATCAGTAAATTGAACTTTCATCGAACTGTACACATGTAGTACAGTAATTCCATGTTTGAAAGTGTTGTGTGGTTTAGTTTGGGTACATCAAGCATCCACTTGGTCTTACCACTGACACAAGTTTGATTTTTAACGCCATTTTGTTATGATTGTGATTGTACTGTTTGTTGTAGTTGCCGCCACACACCGGGAGACACAACAGTTCTACAACATGTACAACACCTTGGCAGACACTCGCATGTATATGGACAAGGAGCTGTCTCTCCTTAACTCAATACTCGATAATATGGCTATGTAAGTTTATAAGTTTTTTAATATGTACTGAAAATTATCTCAATTCATGATTTTGATAATAATTCATTAAGAGGAGCTCTTTTGTTGTTTTTAGTACTATGTATGAATTCAAAACATTTTAAACTGAATCATGTACCCGAATTTGTGTGTATGGTTTACTGGAACAATGTACTGTACTGTAAATAAAGGACTTTCTGTGTGATCAATAGGGTAGAAAATCATCTTACATGCTTCCTGATACTTCATGAATAAAGAAGAACATAATCTACATGTTTGATGTGATAAATAATGCAAAATATTTTATACAATATATTGATAGTTACTGTATATTTACCAGGGCCCTGGGCAACACAGCCAACATGGATGAATACCTGCAGCAGCTGGACACCATTGTGGAAGGCATTAGGCAAAATAAGCTGAAGGTATGTTAAAAATATATTTGCACCACACTTTTATTAGTTTTGTTTTGACCCTCCTACCAGAACCAAGAAGCCATATACAGTACAGTATACCAAACTAGCTCACTACATGATCTTTCTGTCATGGGAATCCCTTCATGGCATACAAATCCTTCACGAATCCTGTAACCTATCATGTTCTGTATTTGTTCCCTCATCTTGGATGGTAAGTGGGAGTACAGTACAGTACAGTATATCAATAATTTGTGTATATTTACAGTACTGTACCCTATATCATTTCTAAACTTGTACATATTTGGAGTGTTAGTGGCACCTCTTGTGTATGTAATGATCAGTGTTTAAGTCTTTGGGTCCAGACAAAGGTGTTGTATACACTGTACCTGATAGTTAGGCTTGATGCTCCCAGGATCCATTACACCAATATTATAAGTCACTTAGCTTACAACATTCACATCTTTATTAAAAATTCTGTCTCCAAGGTGTGTGACCTAGATTTTGCCATGACATTATTCAGAGACTTTTTTAAGATGTATATACTAGTGAGCCATTTGGCTCATTAGCCCTTGAATTTGGTCTACTAGATGTATTCTATTGGTCCACTTGTCACTTGGTATGTAAAAAAAAAAAACTACTTTACTCACAACTAAACTAACTTGCTCTTAGTCTCTTACCGTGTTTTATGAATTATGAAACAGATCGCACAAGATTTTCAAATGGCCTGCCAAGCCACACCTTTCTGATGAGAATATTTTTTATAATTAAAACAGACACGATATATTTTTTTCCTGAAGTTCTTCTACCGTCATCGTCCGGCAGCACGGCAGTTACTTCACTATATAAAATGATCAGGATTTAAACTACTTCGGTAAAAGGGTTTTATGGTATATTTCACAGTTTTGTTGCAAATGAACCACAATAACTATATTGTATGTATGTACTATACTGTACCCCCTTATTAAATGTGACTCGCAAGTAAAAATTCCTTAAAAAAGTCCCTGACATTGTTCACATGACTGCAGTACTGTACTTTATATAATGTTATCAGTTTCCTCTGTTTTTGACAACTATGACATTGATTTGTTTTCAGCTGGAGCGGAGACGTGTGGAAGAGAGAGTTCACCGTAATGCCCTCAGTGATGAACTTGGTCGCTTACAGGAGTTGAACCGACAGTACGCCAAGACTGTCCACTTACTCGGACAAGAAATTAATAGAAATGAAATGCTGCATCAGAAAGTGACTGCTCGTGGCTCCAAGTAGGATTATTTATGACATTCTTGTACATATTTTAACCTTTCACTTGTGCTTAAAAATACATGTGTCATATTAATACTTATGTTGGCTGTGAGAAAGTGTCAAACAAAAGCATATACTGTATACATAGTTCAGTATAGTTTTGTCTTTAGAGACGGTGAGAAGTGAATGTGATTTGTTGAATAATAGCTGGACTCTGGATAATGATATAAGTTGATTTAATTTTCTCTTCTTGATAACAAAGAACAAAACTGATCCTCTCCTTGCCAGCTACTTTACACCAAGCTTAATAAAATATTTGATTCTTCACTTTTGTGTATTCGGAATGTACAAAAAATATAAAATTTTAATAAATGCAAATTATTTTAGTTTGTATTGTTTAATATTGGTAATGTGTATCTTTAGTTACATCTTTCGTAGTGGTTTAGGAAGATGGCCATAAAGTGTCTCAAAGCCCTTAACCCTGTCATTGTGATTAAGCAACAATGATACCAGTACATTACAGTCATAAGTCGTACCATAATTATAAATACAGTAATATTTATATAATATGTTGTGTCACTAAAATTCTGTTAAAGGTAATGTTTTGATGATTACTCTTCATATAATTTTTCTCACTTTGGTCATACAACACTGGGGCGCCTGCAACTATTACAGCATTTGGATTCTTTAAAGATGGTCTGAAAGAAAGAAAAATATCCACTAAATTTAACAATAAAAAAATGTTATCTCCTCAAATAGTTAGTGTAAAACAAAGGGAGCGCCGAATGATGAGTGAAATGTGTTGTTTAGGGTAAGAATTGATATAATGATTGTGTGTTAGACCAGCAGTTGATGCCACACCATCTGTGCTGGCCTAATAAAACAGGTGAACAGTGATCACAGTCAGATTAAAGGTTTCAATAAAACATTACATATTTAGGCTCAAGAAAATTCAGAAAAAAATACTGTAATACCAAAATACCAAGCAAAGCCTCAATAAAACTGTGTAGCAGGAATTATAATAACAGCCCTTTAAATATTAGTGTAATATTATACAGTACAGTACAGGGTGTTAGGAAACTCCCTGTGCACCTGAAGTAATTAACAATGTAGTTATTTACCTCTTTCTACTTACAGTAAATATTGGAAATGGTGACAGTAAATGTTTTTTAATTGGTGAACAGTGTAAAAACAAAAGTGTATAATACAAACAGGTGTTAACTGAGGAATACCTGTACTGTACTGTATATTAATAAAAAAAAAAAAAAGATATACCCACGCAAATCTGGAGTACGGTATGCTCATGACAAGCATAGTCCTGCGACGAAATGTAAACTGAAAAATGCCCTCGAAGTACCCAACTGGTGATGCCAGGGTGAGGCCAAAACACTGAAAAATAATCCCAAATAATTGGTTCTTGCAACTATCACACCTTATGAGTATATAAGCATGTTGGCAAGGGCAAAATCTTTCCTAAACTTTTTGATTGACCGACCATCCCTGAGTCAGAATTTTTAAATTTGCAATTTTGAAGAAAAAAAATACAGTACACAAAAGGCTGAAAATGCTTTTATACAGTTCAGAAGTTGGACAGAATGAAATGAACAGACAGTTTTTGGTTAATGAAGGATGATTATAACAGAAAGGAGGACAAAATTTAGTTAAATTCTGGTGAAGGTCAGAAAACCATAATAGTTCCTATTATTTCCCTTACAGGTGTCAGAGAGATATAAACACTGACATGCTAAACAACTCTTTAAATGTTGTGCCAAAATGTTACGTACTTGTATTGTACAAATGAAACATTATAATACATTTAAGTCACAAGTACGGTACATTAATGATCTATTGATTGTATCACTTACCTTCATTATATGATGAAAGGTTAAGTCATCAGCATAATGTTCCATTTTTATGTAAACAGCATATATCGAGGCATTCTGGAGTAATTGGGAGAGAGAACTTACAACACAATAATCACCGGTCATTGTACACGCTCGCTCTCCAAAAAGTATCTTTCCAATTTGCGTGAGACAATATGACACAATGGATGAAGATTTTGAAAACTCTATCGAGATAACAGGAGTCGCGGTGTTCATTGTGAAAATTATCGGACCCCTCCATAAAGGCGCTTTTTGGAGCAAGTGTTACAATATGTGTATAAACAAATCTGTTTTCCTCTAGGCATCATCAGAACCAAGAGATAATGCTGTATGTATAGGAGTAAATAATAAAAAACAAACATGGTTACAGAATGACTAACTCTGTATGAAGACTTGTATCAGAAGCAGGTTATGAAGACAACAAAAATAATCATACTAAATTATTTCCAAAGTAAGATTTAATGTTAGGAAAAAGGTCAATTGTAGACAAGGACATGCACAAGATCTGTCAGATGGGGAGCTGAGAGTTTGCAAAAACGGGCACCATCCCCTTACAGTGGGGGGGTTCAGGGGCTGCTGCAAGCCCCCCCTCGGGTTTTTTTTTTTAAATCTGATCTATTTGAGGGCCATTTTGAGGCCATATGCAGTTTGCTATGAATGTCCCTGGAATTTTGATATATTTTATGATTTTTTAATGAAAATATAATTAATATGCAATAAAAGCAACATACAAACTGCTTCTTTATAAAATACTGTTAGTCAATACTGTATGTACTTCATCTTCATGTGTAGATGAATCACATGCCATACAATGACATTATTAGACCATTTATTTACAACTTAAACTAAAGAAACAGGGTCACTGAATGTTATGGCTTTACATGCTTATAGCATTTAGGTTATTATAAGAGGATTTTTCCTCCCTAAGTTCTTTGCATCCTAAATGGGCTGATCTGCCTCTTTTTTCATGGCTAGTGAATACCCTACCCTCTTGTTACTGATGATTGAAAAAAATCGAGGGCACTTCGTAACTGGCAGGGACTCGAGCCCTCCTTGAGCGCTAACTGTGCATGTGCCTGATTGTAGACATAAACTGATACTGTACCATTTTCTCTGGGAAGAACTGAGGATCATTGCAGTCAATAGTGTTCCCGCCAAGTGGCTCAGCGGCTGTGATGGCAGAGAAGATATCTTGACAGTACTTGTAGTGAAGTAGTCTAATAAAAATGGGATATACAGTACTGTACATGAAAATGAATACATAACAATTATGCTGGTATGTAACTTATAAATTCCTGTATAATTTATAATTCTTGAGTTCAAAAAACTCTTACCTATGATATATGGTTAGAATGAAAAGAAAGTTGGATTTATGAAGTGGCATTGAATAATATTGTACAGGTACTCATAAAATTACTCAAACTTAGCAAATATTTTAAAAGTATTCACAGACAAAGATGAAAGTATAAAGTCTTGATTATAAAAATATTGTGAAAGTGTTTGAGTTAATGCCTAGTCTTCTACAAGCAGGGAGACTAACAGTAAACTAACTACACTAAATGTACATGGAGTATTCATCCAATGGTTTACACCTAAATGTTACATGTGGCTTTACCTGGAAGAGTTAACAAGAATGACATGAGATTCTTGAGAGCACAGTGGGTCGTGTTTATCCTCGTGCATTGCCTTCATCTCTGTAGAAGTGTCACTGGTACTTGGTTCATACAGACGACATATCCTTGGCACATCAGGCACAACACAGCCACGCCTCCGCCTCCTGCTCCACCACGAGAGCCATACCTCCAGAGACTCCTGAAGTATGACAATCTATTCTGAAGTGCTTACATAAATATTAGACATTCCCTCCATCTTCCATAATTAGAAACCCCTTGTTTACGGGATACTCTCCGTACTGAATAATGTCTGGTATTAGCCAAATAAAATATTAAAGTGGCATCCCCATAGTGAAGGTTAGGTAAACTGTCAAATAACTTGGCACAGACAATGCCTTCACTCAGTAATAAATATGATTCTGAAAATATGTTACAATGGCAATTATAGTACAATCTGGGAGGACAATTATACACATCTAAACAGTTGAAAACAAAGATGTTAATTTGAATATTGTATGTACAGTCAACTCCCCCTGAACCACGAGATTCAGACTCGTGAACCCGAAGCAGCGTTATTCTGTCCATAAATGCTATGGATTCACGAGTCCGAATCTCAGGATTCGTGGTTCAGGGGGAGAGGCAAACAGACTTTAGTAGTTAACTGTACAGTGTGTCAGCTGATACTTTGTGAAGACAGCAAAAGACAAGAATTACTGTATGCAACCTTTTTATACACCTACCAAAGCTGACTTTTGTTCCAATGAATTTTTGTCTTGATAGATCACAAAATCCTTTAAAATTTCACTGACGACTTTTGAAGGAATTAAAGTTGCTTTCCCGACAAAGTGGTCAAAACGATACACTCTTGACACATTTCCAGACGTGAAGGCTGAGGCGAGAGGGTTGTGAGCAGAGATGCAGTAGATGGATGGATCTTCCTTCATGGCCTCAACAGTCTGTTTGTAATAACTGACAACCAAACATACCAATTGCAAAGTTAATAATGGTACATATTTAACAGGGGTCTCTTTTTTTTCTACTATCAATGATGGTAATTTATGATGAAAAATAATAATCATAGACATACCTAAAAGAATAAACATTTTGTCTGCCATTGTGGGTTTCATCTTTTACCTAATAGGATGTTACCTATTAAACTGTTCATTATTTTAGGGGAAATTTTTACTTTAAAATGAAGAAAAAAATATTAAAATCTACAATACATTTTAGAAATGCCCCATGAAATTATACAACACACGATGATCTCGTCTTTACTCTGAGCCACGAGCTTAACCAATGAGAGAGACACTGTATACCACTCAACCAATCAGTGTCTGCCTCTTGCCTGGGTGTGTTTACTCCACCATGGTACAGTACTAACTCTTTTAAACTGATTTTTGACCTATAATGTCTGCAAAAAAACAAAGTGAAAATGTGGTCAAGCAATCATGGAAAGGCATCAGTCTGAGTGTACATGTGGAGGCAATGGTGAACATCAGTTTGTCATTGATCACAGCTTCTCAAGAATACACACAGGATAAAGACTTCTGCTCATTCCACCATTTCATTAACAGGAGCCAAGTGTTTACTGGAGACGAAGGAGAGCCAGTTAGGGGTGACAGCAAATGGTGGTCTGACAAAATGCATTGGTGAGTACTGTACTGTACACAACTTTTATACCCAGATCTAATAACAATTATTGTATTCTGTTCATTTGTAAAATATTTTTAATGTATCAAGTGTACAGTACCATTATTACTGCTATTACCAATACTTAAAGAAGCCCTTAGATACAGTATAATACATAGGTGTGGACAAGATGCTCCTAGGAATGTATCGTAAATATTTGTCATTAATTTGGTAGTAAATAGTGATTGAGTGTTGTTTTACCTAACATCATGTTTTCATGAAATGCAACGTCAGTATATGTAGAGTCCTTACAGTATTATTTTAGCTGAAGAAGATGCAGATGTGAGACTTTTGGGCCATCAATATATTTACCTAACAAAATCTGGAGAGAGAGCATAGCCTGTCTCCAACAGCATGAGGAACTGTAGCTCTGGAAAAGATGCCTTCACAAACTTAAGAGCTTCTTTTAAGTTCTTACTCTTCTGGCAATGTGATCTTTTTTCTTGCTTACTGGTATTTCCTTTCTGCCTTGACAAGTCTTCACCCACACTTTCCTCTGCATTGACTTTCCATTCTTCTTCTCTGGAGTTTATTACAGCTTTCCGATGCATAGGGTTATAAGGATGACTGGCAAAAATAGCACCTCGTTCACGTTCTAATTCTTTTACAGTTGGGCGACGGGTTCCTGTGTCAGTCATATTCGACCCAGTGTTCAAGGTGTTAATTACTGGACTGATGGCATCTTTTACACATACATTTGTACCCGAAAAAGCATCAATTATGTTCTTTAAGTTATCCACAACTGACAAACCATGGATGAATTTACTCAGAAACCTTTTATTGCCACTTGACCTGAAGGAACTCTCACTGGGACTATTAATAACATGGATCTTGAGTGGATATTCCTGTAGTAGACTCATTACTTCCTCAGATGGGTCCAGTACAGAGACAGTAAGGTGCATCCCACTCCCGGCTGTTTCTTGCAGTACACTTTCAATAGATCTGCAGAATACAGTAAAAAAATTATGTAATGTGTACTCATTCCAAATGAACACAGCAACTCCTGTAGTCTAAATAGGGATGTCAAATTCCTTCATCGGTTGTGTTATATTGTTTGTCACAAAGTCGTAAAGATATTTTCTTGAGCGAGTGTACGTAAATCACCTCTAATCACCTTAGTCTTACATTAACATCACTAGGATATGGGGGATATCCTAGTGATGTTTATGTAAAACTAAAGAGAAACAAATGAATCAAAATAAATTTAAATATATTCCCTTACCTCCTTCACTTGGCTTTCCTTACATAAATCATTACACCTTAGAAAATATTTGATACAGGTCATCAATTACTGTACGACTGATATACCTGAATTAAGTTTGTACAATACCTCTTTCACTGACCTTTAAAGTAATCTTTACTATATCCCTATGGAACACAAGACAACAGGTTTTATGCATTAAAATTTAATATACAGGAGGTAATCATAAAAGAATTAAAGTGAGCAACTACAGCACTTAAGAATTACCAAAACACCTCCAGCATAACTTTTTATACTCATGAACATCATTAATAAAAGACTATGGTAGCTATTCAATTTAATACACTTTACCATTTCACCAATTATCAGCTTACTAGCCATTCAGATGGCTTTATTTTTTATTTTTTTACTTAATGGCATAATTTGTTAAACTTCCTCCTATCCATAAAATTACAAACACATTATGTCAAGGAGTTTTAGCAAATTTCTCCCCTGAAACCCTACAAGCTCCAAGCAAGACACTGTCAGAGTAAAAAGCAATATGTAAGTTAATAAAGAAACATAATTCATTGAAATTCAACTCCAGTAAATTCTTACCTTTGTATTATTGACAAATCTTCTGAGGCAACCAACATAAGTATTGGAATTCCAGACAGGGGCCCGAACTGCAACTAGCGGATACAAATACTGTACATTAGTAACTCCATAGGGATGACAGTACATGATTACCAAGTACTGTACTGTACTGAACACATAATAGGTACAGTATTCGCCTCTCATGAACATTACAATTCTACTGTACTGTACTCATAGTGTCAGAAAGTTTATTGAGGAAAGCAAATACTGTAAATAACATACAGTAATGAAAATAAATAACAGGTTCTTTGGACTTACCTGAGCTGTACCCCCAAATCTCTCATTGTCTGAAGAGCTCTGCACGAATTATTCCGGCTATTCCGACTAACGGGGATATCACTTTGTAGTCTAATCTCCCCTCCCTACATTTTTCATTTACCCTCTTTACTGTTACTGACTGTTTCTGTTGTTACTGTTCCTGTTGTTACTGACTTTCTGTTGTTGCTAACTGTTTACTGTTGTTATTGACTGATTTTGTTGCTGCACTGCCAAGTATCATTCTAGAGCTTATTTTAAATTTATCCAATACTATCCCCTCCCCTTTATTATATACTGTTCTTACAACTCCACACGTACAACTTTGAAAGTCACTACCTCGTTGTGATCTCCTTGGCCCCACATAGGAAGCGGGGCCCGGAACTGGTAGTTGTGGGCTTGGCCAGTGGGAGAGTGAGGCTTCAATATGGGTTCAGTGTCCTCCTCCAGGGAATATGTATCATCTGTAATAAGATAAACTTACGGCATACTGCTACGTGCCCCACATGACAGCTTTTGAATACAAGCATGACTCCCATATACGTTAAACTTTTCTGAGACCTTCAAATGTGACTCCCATGTATGCTGAACTTTTCTGAGACAATCTACACTGTAGTTACTGGGATGCCAAAAGATCAGCCCATGACAAGATCTTGCACAATATTAAAAACAACAAATAGACATTTGTAAGAATTTATAAAAGACTGTATGATTGATTGTACTGTACTACAATCTTATGCCCAGACAACAAAACTTTATTTGAAATTGTAAACATACCCAGAAGCATAGTTGTAAGTAATATTGAATATCCTGTTATGTAATGCAGGAAACTTGTAGATCCCACAAGTTACCACAATACTCACCTGCCTTAATACTTGGTCGCAGTGTCAGCAGACCCACAACACACACTACCATTACTACCTACCAAGGAGAAATATAGGGATGTTAGTATTATACAGGTAGTTCCACTGTATTATACCTGTAATATAAAAAATATATCAGTGACACAGGGTGATATGTTAATTACAAAAGATACAGTAAGCAATATAAGAGCAGATCAGACTCTTAACAGAAGTAAAAACCACAAAGAATTTTGAGACGTTGACCCTTGAAATTATGGAAAATCAAATTGTGAGTAATGTATGATGGAGTGAGGGAGTAATATATGAGGAGGTAGTCAGTGACACCTACCAACACCAGAATGAGGTAAGGTGGTCGCCAGGATCTGCTCTGCTTGTTGAGTGATTCTCTTCTCTGGTAACTTGTCATGGTGTGTGTATAACTCTGGATAAGCCTCTCATAACACCTGTAGATCTGCTGCTCCTGATACTGTCGCTGCAGTAATATAAGTAACAGTCAGTTATAAGCAAAAATAATTACTTTGTGTAAATATTTTCCATTATTGTTAACCTTACTTCCTCAAAACACACCCGAGCAACGTTGGGTACCCTGGCCATTAGATATATTTACTATTCACGTACAGTATTATGGATATAGTTCCCCCTTAATAAGAGATAGGGATTTGGGTATTTCCAAAATTACATGCCCCTCATTAGGAACAATATTTCAAAAGCAAAGGCGACGAAGAAAAGGAGACAGTGTCCATCCATGGACACTGCGTAACAGAGACGTGACCGATCGCCCAAGCGGCTAACGAACCGGTCAGTGGTGAAGAGGATAAAAGTAAAAAAGATCACAACTCAAGGTTGGAGAAGTCACTAATCCAGAACAGTGTAAAGCATGGGTGCCCTCAGGAGGGTTCACTTGCGCCCCCCCCCCCCCTGGAAAAAATGAAATTTTCTTTTTCTGCAGTCCTTGTTCACAATATGCAAATTATATTACTCCACTTGTCACGGGTAATATAGGCGATTTCGTGTTATTAATCACCACACATTGCTTGCACTCATGAAGAAAGTCTCCAATCCACATACCTTTCCAGTTTAATCTTCAGCCTTTCATGGGGTACGTTGTCTAAAGCCTTCACAAAATCTATGTGTATACCTGGATGTATACACTTATTTTGAAGTAACTGTCAGGTCCTATCTTGCTTTCTTGTAGCCCCCTGGAAAAAATCCTGCCTATGCCTATGCCTGCTAACAGTGCTTAACAGAGACGTGACTAATCTCCCAAGCGTTTAACAGGACGATCAGTGGCAAATAGGATAAAGTAAAATAAAGTACACTAAATTAAAATAATTGCTAAATCTTACAACCATAATAAAAGATTACAGTAGTCATCCCATCAAAAGTTTCATTTTCTTTTATCGTTTTATCTCAACAAAGAAAACGTAAGTAAATAAACAGTGTCATGAATGAGTTAAAATGCCGGACTTAAATAACTTTGAATGAGTTTAAAGGTGTAACCGTAGTATTAAAGAGTATCACTTTAATTAAATAACTAATCATAACAATAATAATAATACAGGGCCGCGCGGGGAACATTAGAGAAGAAAAGTGTCTTAATTTGTCTGAACGATTGATTGTAAAGATAAAATTGTTTGATATTCTGTTGGCGCCAATAATAATAATATTAATAATAATAATAGTAATAATAATAATAATAGTAATCATAATTATTCAGAAATTTACCTTAGCCATATAAATTTTAATAACATAAGGGTCACATAATGGAACTTTAGTAAACTTTTGTTTAATGAATTGTACGTTACAGATTAATTATTAGAAAAGAAATATGAGAATAATTGAATTTCAGGATTATTAGGAACCGAACCCTAGTACAGTATATTATTGGTTAGGTTAGATAAGGATAAGTTAGGTTTGATCACAATAAATTAAGTTAGATTTGGCTTAGATTACATTAGGATAAGTTAAGATTTTGTTAGGTTTCACTCCTGTTTCACCAGTGATGTGTTTCTATATCGTAATAACAGTGTTTAGGAAAATAAAAACTGTTATCGTAAGAGCAAGATACGAAGAAATACACATATCGTGTCCTGCTAATTAAATTTACCTGTCAGTAGCCCCAGGCATAATCACGTCACAATTATGATATCTGTACAGAAATTGTTCATGCATTGGACAGTATTCCAAATTGGTCAAATAAGTATAGACGCTGTATAATAATTAACTTACCACAGCATTTTCACCAATTAAAAGCACTTATAAAAATGGAACAATTATAAATTCATATGTTATATTTTTCCCCCATAAAATATCACTATAGACACAAAAATTCAGGGTATAAATTTATCTGAAATATCCTCGTACATAAATATTAAAACTAGATACATGTACTACAGATTACGGAGCCCCTAGACGTAAACCTCACTCCTTGACACACTGATGACACCTGGTGCTCCACGTCCACCACATTCACCACTCAACATACCTGTGACCTGTGACATATATTACAGTATTGATGGATAATAATACCGGTACTTACAAATAGTTTAATTGTCATATTCGGTAATGATTAAGGAAATATCTGACAGTCATAGTAAGTAAAACACATTACAGTAGATAGTTATTCTCTCACCTGTTATGGGCGGGCTACGTCCCCATGACCTGAGGCGTCGACATGTGGCGGTGAGAGAAGGCCACCTATCACTACTAACTCTACCCCTAAGATAACCTTATTGTCAATATACTAGGTTTAATCTGTATGGTAAACTATTAATCTAAGTGAAAATAGAACAAACGAGTAAAAGTAAGGTGGTAGAGCAGCAGTTTTTGTACAGGAAAACTGGGAGGAAAATTGGTTGTCATAAAAATCACTGGTGAAGAGGATAAAATGTGATTTAACCACACGAACGTCATTTTCCCATTTATTTAGGTGAACGGTTAAACATTTCGAAAAATAATTCCGTCATTAACTGTCACTAAATCAAGATCTACAGAAATTTTCCTAAATCACAAGACATTTTGCTCCAGAATCTACGGTTGGCAACACTGTCAACACCTGGCGAGTGTCAGGCAGCTGGCAACACTGACAGACCCAAAGCTGTCAACAACTCACCTGAACAGAACCTCCTCTAATTAACAAACTCACCTGAACCTCCTCTAACTCAATGGACAATCACCTTAATAACTGATGCAGGTATGTATGTTTGTTATTATACCAGTAACTCATTTTATATAGTTTAATGAAGCAGTGAGTTCTTTTATGGGTATTGTGGTCTCATCTGTTGGGCCAGAACTAAACGAGGACATATGACTGTATGCTTTAATGTTGACTGCAGGAAACTGTCAACGTAGAGTAACAATATACTGTCAGTCTGTGTTAAGTGATTTTGAAGATAATGATAGTCACGGTAAAGCAGCTGCCTCACTCCAATAGTGTACTACAGTAGGTAATGATGGAACAGAAGGGTTTAATGGAATTGCACCAAATTTTTAGATGTTGTTTGGATGATCCTAAGTAAGAAAATTAAAATGGCAATGCATAGAACCTATTGCTTTTTTTGCTCACTTTTATCTTCTTTGCTACTGATTGGCTCGTTAGCCGCTTGGGCAGTTGGTCGCATTTCTGTCAAAAGCATTGTTGGCAAGTACTGGGCTTGCACTGGCTCCTGAATTGTCTGTACCTGCTCCAGTGCAGGTCAAGTCTGGTCTTGAAAGAGTTCACACTCGGTGCTGTTACAGCACTCTGGCAATTCTGATCACACAAAGCAGGCAGGGCATTGAAATACAGAGAAATTGTGGGGTAAAACATGCAAAAAACTGATTAAATCAATCCTAACTTAAACTAACTATTACAGATAATTTTAAAAAGTGTACTATTTAAGAACAGGTGCAAGAGTTATGGAGCCGAGTTAGGAAACTTTTCAATAGAAGAAACGTTTTTCAGTTTATCAAGAACATCTAAAAAATGGTGGAGGAAATAACTTTTTGCCAAACAAAAAGATAAAATACGTAACCTAAGAACTCAAAAATCAGTATGTACACGTAGCTACTTGTCTAATCCAACCTAACCAGAAGAAATTGAAGGACTTGACTTACCTCCTCTGCCCTCTTAAAGAATCTAACATAACCCTTAACCTAACCTTCCCAAGTTCTTTATAGTACAGTACGTAACTATGATATTTTATTTGTTACAGGAGATGTTACAACAAAACTTTGGGTAATTGAACTGTTCTGTCATAGCTGAAAATGACCAACTGGAGCATGGAACAAAAGCTGTGGCATCACTATCACCACCACCACCATGGCTCTATCACACTGGCACCACCACCACCTATGGCAAGGTAAACTTAAGGGGCAGCTCTCATAACCTATAGAGGAAATCTTTATTCCCATCAAACTGTGGACAAGTTGTAACTGTGTTCCCGTTAGTCATTTCTGTGTTTCTTTTTATATCTTTCTGTCTATCAAACTGCTAATGTATGTTTGTGTCTCTGTCTTTCTATCTGTCCGTCTCTATGTGCCTTTCAGTATATTTTCCATATCTATATTTATCAATTTATATATCTATTATCTATCAGACAATCTATCTATCTATATCTGTTAATCTATATATCAGTACAAATATTTGTCAGTCTGTCAATTTATATACAGTACAGTACAGTACGGTATAGGGGGTCACCGACTTACGAACGCCCACCGATACAAACGGGGTTAAGCTTGAAATTTACAGTATTGTATTTACCTGATGAATTATTTTTTACTTTCATTTACTGTATTTTGTCATTCTATTTCTTCTTTTTTCTTAAATTAAATGATTTTGGATGTATATAAGGGCTTACGTTATGGTATAGTGGGATTTTAAACATTGTTCTGTAAGTACGGTATGCACATACCATGTGTTCCGACTTATGTACAAATCCAACTTAAGAACTTCCTCAGGAACAGAACCTGTTCGTACCTGGTGACCCCTGCACAGTACAGTACAGTGTAGTATATCTATCTCTCCTCATGGCTTATCTATATCTGTCAGCATCTACCAAGTACAGGGGGTATTTATATTTTTATATCTCTTGCTGTGTCTGTCCGTCAACCAAGCCATGTATATTACCCATCTATATGTCTAAACTCCTGTATTTCCCATTGTATTAAATGTACCACTGATTTAGAAGGGAATATTAATGATCTGGGTTGAAAATTTAAAAGAAAATGAGTAAATAAGTGTTAATTAATAACCTCGAAATACAGTAATAAAATGCACTGAAAATATTTAAAACATCATTTATGCTGTGTTCTTACATTTTAATGCAAAAATTACTGAGTCTCTCAAGCATGCACGGTTTACAGTCCCAAGAAAGTTCACCTAAACCAAACTTGCATAAAACAAACACCTATTGGATAACTATTAATTCATGGACATATTTTATCATAAACTGTTGTGTATATATAAAATGTTCTTTGTTTGTTTGTTACAGATGAGTAACGACTAAACCCTTGAGAAATTAACAACTGGATCATGGAGACACTACTGTTACAGGTATGTTTTTTTGTCTTTCTAACTGTCTATATTTATCTATCTGTTTCTCTATATCTTTCTATCAGTCTTTCAATACCTGTATGTCGGTCAGTCTGTCTTTTGGTATCTATAGCATCTGTCAGACTGTCTTTGTCTATACAAGCATCTGTCTTATCTATATCTATGCTATCAGTAAGAAAGATATTGACAGTGAGTGAGGAAGGTGGGTTCACAAGAGGTACAGTGAGTGAGGAAGGTGGGTACACAAGAGGTACAGTGAGTGAGGAAGGTGGGTACACAAGAGGTACAGTGAGTGAGGAAGGTGGTACACAAGAGGTACAGTGGAGTGAGGAAGGTGGGTTCACAAGAGGTACAGTGAGTGAGGAAGGTGGGTACACAAGAGGTACAGTGAGTGAGGAAGGTGGGTACACAAGAGGTACAGTGAGTGAGGAAGGTGTGTACACAAGAGGTACAGTGGAGTGGATGGCAGACTGCTGGATGTTGCTGACTGTAAGTGTTATGTATGTGCAGGTAAATATGTGTCCACAGCAAGACTGAAGAAACTCAACACTGAAGATTATCCCTGGACTGTGTGGATGAGTTCTGCTGCCTGGATGACGTGATCAGTGCTGGAGGGGGTGCTGAAGGCTGCTGTATTGTGAGTCATGGATGATGGATGAGTTCTGCTGCCTGGGTAACATGATCAGTGCTGGAGGGGGTGCTGAAGGCTGCTGTGTTGTGAGTCATGGATGAGTTCTGCTGCCTGGGTGACAAGATCAGTGCTGGAGAGGGTTCTGTTCATTGTTAAGAGTCAGAAATGGCTGGAGGAAGATTAGGGAACTGTTGTCTTTATTGTCAGCAAGAGGACTTTCCCATCACATGAAAGGAAAAATGTATACAACTAGTGTGAGAAGTGTGGTGTTATTTATCCGTGAAAATATGGGCAGTTAAAGAGGGTGACATATGCAGTCTTGAGTGAGCTGAAATGAGAATGGTGAGGTGGATGTGTACTGTGACGCTGAAAGATAAGAATCCCCGCTCAGAGGTAAGAGGACGGCTGGGTATTGAGAGTATCGGCCAAGATTTACGAAAAAGTAGACTGAGATCAGGCCTGTGGAGAGAATGGATGAGACCAGCTGGGTTATGTGGTGCATGATTCTACAATAAATGTGGTTAGGAGGAGAGCCAGTGGTAGGTAGGCCAAGAATGACATGGGGAGAGATTGTAAGAAATGATCTTAGAACCTGACAAGACAGACTGCAAGAGATGGTGTGGAAAATGGCTGTATGATTTGGATGGTGATGATGATTCTGTTTTATCTTTCTGTCTAACTTTCAGTCTATCTATCTATACTACTGTACTGTATTTCTCACCATATTAAAGGCAACCACTGATATAGCATGAAAGGTTTACTGTATAGTCCCAGAAAAGTTCACGGATTTTACTCTGCAAACCATTTCACACAACCACGTCATTGAATTTCAAGAATGTGTGGATAAGTGTGGCGTCTTTATCCCTCTGCAGTCTAATGTATTCCTCCGTAAATGTGAGGAACGAATAAAAATAATAATAATAAATAAAAGGGAGGAAAAAATACTTCCTTGCCATTTGACAATTGTTTCACTAAAGATGTAGGAGACGGGTGTGCTCCCCCCTCGTGGGCTGACTCCTGCCGACGTAATAAATGTTTATTGACCTTTTCATAATCATTTCTTTTAATTTTATTTTGTTAACTCTGAATGATTGTGTGTGGATGTAACAGTTAACAAAAGGTAAATATAACTACATATATCTACCGAAAACTACGAGTTGAAAAATAACAATGATGCAGCTCTCAGCTTGGCCTGGTAGGGAGAGGCTTAGATCCCTGTAACCATTCCCACCTACCCCCTTCCTCTCCCACGATCCACCACTAACTCTCATGGACATCAGAAGTTTTTATTTTCTTTATTTTTTGACCTTATGGTAATCATTTCTTTTATACACTCTGTATGAATGACTGCAGGTGCATATAACAGTAATAAACAAATGAATAAAATGACATATAGTATCTACCCTAAAATAAGAGTTGAAAAATAACAATAACACAGCTTGGCTTGGTGTATATGATGTAGGGTGAATTATGGAGACATTTGTTAGGTTAAAAATATGTCTTATATGGTGGGAAATATGGTATATCTCTCAGTCTATCTCTCTACATCTTTCTGCCCATCTGTCTACAGTATGTCTGTCTTATATGTACTGTAGACAGAACTACTGTGCTAACCATGATAGACAGTTGACAATGCATGTGATTAATACCTGGAATACAAATATTTGCAGGAAAATGTCCAATATATTCAGCAACTAGACCACTTTAGTGATATAGAACCATGAAAGTGTTGTTTATTGTTTTTATACCAAAACACTGGTGATTGTCTCTCAGATACATCAGTTGTATATCTTTAGTGGTGCATTACTGTGTCCTGGGTTCATTCCCCAGCCTGGGACAGATGTTACCCTCACTACCAAACATGGCAGGTTTTCTGCAGGTACAAGAACTACAGTTTCCTCCTATACTGTACAGTTTTAGCAGACCAACTGCCCAAACGGCTCATTACTGGTAGTTATGTTGTCGCTACGTTAACTTATACAAATGTGAATCATAATATAATGCTGACTCAGCCATAGCGAGCTTCAACATTTATGCTACCGATGAATGAGTCTTGATCACACACAACTATAAGGCGGCCTTCTCTTGCCACTCCATCTTCCTTCTGGCCTTTATTGTGGAAAAGCCAAGAAATATTATTGTGTGAGGATGTAGTGGATCTCTGAGGTGACAATGATAAATATTTTGATGTTAAGTCGGTGGTGTGAGTCTGGTACTGTGCAGGTCTGACCCACCTGTTACAAACTACTGCAGGGAGTGAAGACCTTCCTTAAAAGGTTTAACTTGGCAGGATTCAGAAGGTCACAACTCTGTATCAACACAGACGTCCTCAACGGCACTTGATGGTTTATAACAAAGCCCTTTTTTATTACTTACTTTTGCCCTTGATGATGTGGTTCAGCCATTATCAGATGCAGGTCAGGAACACTAAGGACTGTTCCTCTATAATCTTCATTGAGTAAATGAGGATGGATTACATTCATAACTCTCAAATGGCAGCCATCACCTGCAGAAGTTAGCTTTAGGGATGGCAGCCATCACCTGCAGAAGTTAGCTTTAGGGATGGCAGCCATCACCTGCAGAAGTTAGCTGCAGGGATGGTAGTCATCACCTGCAGAAGTTAGCTGCAGGGATGGTAGTCATCACCTGCAGAAGTTAGCTGTAGGGATGGTAGTCATCACCTGCAGAAGTTAGCTGTAGGGATGGTAGGGAGGGATGATCATTAACTAAGTGATAAAGAAGGTACCTGTAGCTGCCTTATTTGTCCTGGCATCACAACTGTACCCAGACTGTGGCTTCACATACGTGCTCTACTGTTGGTCTTTAAATCAAAGGTTATATATAGAAGCTAACCTGAGGTCTGACACAAATAGTTCTGTTCTGTAGTAAAGATTCTTATGTTGTATAATACAGCATTGGGTACCTGTACAGTATTTTCCATAAACTGTATACAGGTACTTGCATTGTCTATATACATGCTGAACTGTATACCTGAATTGTGTATATACATGTTGAACTGTATACCTGTATTGGCTATATGCAGATTGAACCAATTGTAAACTTATATGATAAGTTTGCATACGGTAATAATTATATATCTATCTATCTAAAGTGGTCTAGTGTATGTAAATATTTTGATCTTTTCCCTGATAATGTTGTTTCATCACAGGTGTTACTCTGTTGTAGTGTGAGCCAGTGTGAGGTGGAGGTCAGTATTAAACTGAGGTGTTTAGCTGTGGCTCTGGAAGATTGACAATTTGTCTTATTTTAATTATAAACCAGAACACCTTTATTTATCACTTTTTATTCAGGTATAATTTGGCTAAATTTATCTTTTAAATTTACCTGGACTTAGAATGCCATCACAATATGATTTGAAATTATTATATTCTTTTGTGTTTTTAAGGACTTTAGAATTAATATGATTTAGTGAGACTGTTGAATTGTTCCGGTACTTTACATATCTTTACCATTTACGTTACACTAAATGTATTTACGGTTTAGTTAAGGAATTCAATCTCAATAGTTCGGTGTCATTTAATGTTGCCGTAAAATCTGTTGAGTGACTTAAGTGTCAATTATTCTGTTATAGTCATGCTAGTTAATGTTGTTGTAGGAGATACAGTTTATAATGTAGTGATCTCCGTTAAAACAAACCTTTTTATTTTCTAAATTTGTCTCGCTGGGTTATGAAGGTGTGCATGGTGGGAAAGGCTTTGGGATAAGGAATACTGAAGGTGAAAGAACACTTGAGTTTGGGGATGGTATGTAACATGTGTTTAAGAAGAGGGCAAGTAGGCTGACCATGTAGGCCTAAGGCAGGTGGCACAGAAACCCAGATTGGCTATATTTTTGTCAGGAAATTAGAACAAGTTGCTTGTTAAGGGTGCTTGTGTGTGTTTGACATGTTACTTAAAGATGGAGGGAGAGGAAGAAGGTGGATGTTCGAAGAAGGAGAGTGTGGGAATTGTGAAGGAACTGAATGTAAAGGAAACATTTTCTTGTGAGTTGAGAGGCTAGGAAACAGCCAGTGAGGGGCAGTGTACCAAGATGCTGGGCCATAATAAAAGATGTTCTGTTGAGTGTGGTTGATGGCGGGAATGATGAAGTGGAAACAGAGAGATAAAAAGAGAAAAGAAGATTGTGTGAGATGTGGAAGATGATTGGCAACAGAGAGAAGTACAGTACCTGGAGGCTAAACTGAGATGGTTCAGGAGAGAAAGGAGGAAACTAACTTGGTCAAGAGATACACGAATGAATGTGGGTAGTTAGAGGTAGGCAAAGAATAACATGAGGACAGGTTGTAAAGAAATGTTGGTGCTGCTATAGTAACTGAGTATGTTTGTTGGTTGGAATAATGAGGAACAATCTGAACAGAAAATGAATGAATAATTCAACACCAAAAAATGAGAAATTGTTGAATAATGTTAAAATAATCGGAACTCGGTTAATTCGTATTTTCAGTAATTCGAGTGACCCAGAGTCTCTTTTTGTCGAGTCAATGAGGGTTTAATGCAGTTTGTGGTCCACAGAATTATTGAAAGTACAAATTACTAACTGAGTTCCAAATATTTTGATATTATTCGACAATTTCTAATTTTTTGTGTTCAATTATTCATTCATTTTCTGTTCAATTTGTTCCTCATTATTCCAACCAACAAACATACTCAGTTACCATGCCTTGACTGCCACATAAAATACTCTATTTATAATTACTGTGCAAACAAATATTTTTTAAGTGCACAAACAGTAATAATAAAGTAAATAATACAATAATAAATAAATGTAAGACTTACTGCACATTGTGAGGTGAACTGATAATATGTGGATGATATTTAGAAAGTGTTTTGTTTTGTTGTTAGTTGGCTGAAGAGGGTCTTGGTACTCTAGCTCCAAAATTTCATCTTTTATTTCTCCATTGAGGGTTTTTATTTCATTTACCAGTGTGGCCATGACACCTTCGGAGTATCATCTACATTTTACGATCTCACATTATTTATTTATTGCGGTATTATTTACTTTATAATTGTAAGTATATTTTATAAATATTTATATTTGTACAATAATTTTAAATAGAATATTGTATGTGGCAACCAAGGCAATTTTTTTAACCACTCAGTTATTTCAGATTTATTCCAAATTCAAATCGTTTGATTAATTTTTTGAAAACATACTAATTAAGCCGAATTACAACTATCCGATTTAACAAGGGTAGAGCGTACAGTGTAAATACCCCAGTAGACTGCATATTATAGTAGCACCGAAATGTCAGAATTTTTTTCATGTATTAAATCTGATTATGCTAATATTTTTGTATTTATCTAGATGTGCTTAACAGTAATATTTCTAAGTCCAAAAATTCATTGTTAAAAATATTCTAAGTCGAAAAATTCATCGTTAAAAATATTCTAAGTCCAAAAATCCATCGTTAAAAATATTCTAAGTCCAAAAATCCATCGTTAAAAATATTCTAAGTCCAAAAATGACCAAAATTTTACCTGGGCAAAATTTGAGTAATAAGAAATTGTGTGGTTTTAGGGGTAAAACATTTGTGCCGTTCTTAAGAGCTCCAACTTGGCATCTGTGTATTATAAGGCATAACCGACTACCTGGACGGGGGGAGAGTAACTCACTGGGCCCCTACTGAGTTAATCTCCCCACGGCCAGGTAGTTCTTTACGCTTTTTTTTTTATTTATTATTGGTGAATGATAATTTGAAGGCTGGTCTCTGGAGACTCTTCCGATTATCGTTTACCAAATTTTTTCAACGTTAGTCCTGGCAATGGCAAACTCAAAAAACACTTAAGGGTAAAAAAAGGCTAATTTTTTGGCTGAAATTTTGCTTTTTTTTAGCCATTTTTTCATAAAAAATGCTATTTTTTTCATATTTTTAGCTATTTTTTCATATTTATAGCTATTTTTTCATATTTATAGCTATTTTTTCATATTTATAGCTATTTTTTCATATTTATAGCTATTTTTTCATATTTATAGCTATTTTTTCATATTTATAGCTATTTTTTCATATTCATAGCTATTTTTCTATTATATTTATAGTTTTCTTCATATTTGTTTTTTTTTATTTATATATCTTTGTTATGTTATATATATTTATATATGTTTTATATTTGTTTCATTTGTATATTATCTTTGTGTCATTTGTATATTTTATTTGTTTATTATATTTGTATATATAATTTTTCAGATGCTTTATGAAAGTATTTGGCTTCAAAATGTGAAACTGAACTTTTCTGTTCAAGTTGTAAAGAAAAGGTTAATGAATACTGGTAATGACATTTAAACATTTATTAATGGAAACTTAATGGCATTATAAATTTTTCTTTAGCAGAGCAGCTGCGGCAGCAGGTAGTCCAGGGCGGCGGGGGCAGCAGGTGGTCCAGGGCGGCAGCGGCAGCAGGTGGTCTAGGGCGGCGGCAGCAGGTAGTCCAGGGCGGCGGCAGCAGCAGGTAGTCCAGGGCGGCGGCGGCAGCAGGTAGTCCAGGGCGGCAGCAGGTAGTCCAGGGCGGCGGCAGCAGCAGGTAGTCCAGGGCGGCGGCGGCAGCAGCAGGTAGTCCAGCCCAGGACAAGGTCCAGGGCAGCAGTAGGCAGTCCAGCTTGGTGGTAACCACCAACCAAAGTCCAGAATAATATTTCTGTACAAAATAAAATGTAAAATTAATAATCACATTTATTTAACCAGAAAATTATTTAAAATATAATAATGACTAAATGTTCTGTAGTGTTTTAGATAATTTAACACTTAAGGACCAAATGTACAAATTACTTACAAAAATCTAAATTTCGTAATTGAAATCCTTCACCTAATGATCTTTGATAACATACTGCTAAGTGTTCAGGGAATATTATCAGTAACTGTACATCAACTTAACCTAACCATGTATATTGTACATGCTTAGCTTAACCATAAGAGTTACCAAGTCATAACTACAATAAACCTGCATCTTTGGTTCATAGTTTTGTTAATATATTTAAAATGTTTTGGCTTTCAACGACTATGCTCTGGGAATTATTGATTTGTCAACAATTAATTTTAACTAAATTTACATCAATGAATATCTTGGGCCCAGTACAGTCTTGTTTATTAAAGGTTAAAGTTGCTGAGAGTAATTTATTATTTCTAAAGTATACAAAATGCAGGCAAGTTTACATCTATATTTATGAATTATTTCACCAAGTTCAGCATTGAGCAAAAGTTAATTTACTTAATTTTAAATTTTATGTATTAAATTATCATTTTTTAAAGTTGTAAGTAGTTAAGAGTAAAGTCAAAAGTTATTACCTATAAAAGGTTTAAAGTAAGATATTTTAATACTATTTTATCCTAATACAGTATTTTAACATGACCCTAAACTGAAGGTTTTATCCTCTTCAGAAGTGCTACATTAATCCATTTAATCTAGTACAGTAATTGAAGAACATTAGTGATGCACCATTAATAACCATATTTAAAACTTTTCCAGTAATCTGCCGCCAGATTCAAAACACATATTTAGATTTAATGCTATAATTTTGATCAATTTTATCATGCAGGCATAACAATGAAGTCACTATATAGTCTCACCACCAAACTCGGACTATGAACAAAGTAAAATATCAGTTAAATACAGCATTTAAATAAATCAATTTACTCTGGTGGTAGAGAACCCGTCCACAAATACATCAACTTTATTAATAGTCTTACGGAATTCTTGAAGCTGCAATATTAAGAGCAGCTGGGTTTCATCATTATTTCAGTGTTTTAAGTCAACCCGGCACAACACGCAGTAATTATTATCATAACTCGCTAATCAAGTGGTCAACTATTTATAGGTAAATAATTTAAAGGCTGTTAGAAGGTGCAACCATCAAGGAAGAATACCATGTACTGTATATTGTCTACATTAAATATTTACTGTACGGTATAATATAAAGTACGGACTAATGTTATAACTCAAATAGAGACTTGATAATGTTTAAGACTTATTTTGAGACATTTAATCTGCATTTACTCATTCTCTAATAAAATATAATCTTTAAAGGGAGTTATTTATCATTGACTAATTTTGTTATCAAGAATTCCTCTCCAGCCTCAACGACCTACTGAGTGTCGTTCATTATAGGTTAATATTGTACCAGGTCTTTCTTAGTTCTAATTTGAGTAATATTGGTAAATAAATATCTAATGTACTTTAACAATGCTACAATATATGAAACAAACTTTCTCATCAGCGACAGTCTTTACCAGATTATTTTTCTCTCAATAAATAAAAGTTACTTTGTCTGTCCTGATAATATATTCATTACCATAAAATGAAGTGCTGTAAATCTGCACAGAGGACACTGCCATGTTATCCATCACAACTACGAGACAATGATCGGCGGACGAGTGACATGACCATAATAAGTGAACAGACTAAAGCTGGTTTCCGTAATTACTGTATTTTGCCCGTAATAAAAATTTTACCGATTAATTTCTTCACCCAAAACACAGCAAAATGGCATCGGCTAATACTTTGCTTACTAATACTGATTATTCCACAAAATATTGATATATCTTTAACTTACATTAATTGGTGCATCCCTAATATTGTACTGTACTAATACTTTATCGATATATATATATATATATATATATATATATATATATATATATATATATATATATATATATATATATATATATATATATATATATATATATATATATATATATATATATATATATATATATATATATATATATATATTTCATGTAAATCCACAATGAAAACGTGGATAAGATAAATCTTGATAAATCACACGGGAAAATGGAAACAACGGAGTACCTTAGCTATCGTCTTTATTCAAGACATCTTCAGATGAATAAAGACGATAGCTAAGGTACTCCGTTGTTTCCATTTTCCCGTGTGATTTTATCAAGATATATATATATATATATATATATATATATATATATACTGTACATACATAAGAGTTAACTAGACACAGCAGTTCATGAATTACAAATACTGTACTGTACTTTGTTGAGAGTTTAGTGAAGAAACCACAATGAGTTACCCTGGACTAGTGTAGGGCCGTGCAGTAAGAGCCCGTTCACCAGAAAACTCTCGGGTCATTTGTTGGATCCTTCATCTTTAAGTCATCATCCTGGAATGAATTGTTACAACTCTGTATGATTAAATTAAATATTATACCTACAGTACATTACAGGTATCCCCCAATAAACAGCACATATACCTGATAGTTTCAACAAAAGTCTAGACTACACAGAAGCGCACAGTGAATAAATCCCATTTTGATGCCACTTTTATCTGTATATGAATAAAGATTTTCCCTCCAGAACATAAACCAATAATATATAAATTACTTCCACTAAATGAACATATTACCAGGAATAAAACTGTTGTATATTAAGGAACACCTGTCAACTAGTCTACTGAATAAATGAAGCATTACAGCACAACTTAAGTGGAGAACAACACAGAGTTAAGCAACCTTATTTTTAACAGCTCTTTAACTATTGATGATATCACTGATAAACTTGAATACAGTATTAAAAGTATTATGTAAGCTTGGATACAGTGTACAGTATTACAAGTATTAAGTAGTCATCCCCTGATTATACTGGTTAACTGCCCACCCCCCCATAATGTTTTATAGTACAGTACTTTATTATTGATGAACATTACTACTTTCAAGAGCTGTTGGTAAGAGTAAGGCAAAGTAACATTCAACATTTTCTCAATTTCCTGTAAGAATGCAGCAACATTAATAAACAAAATGGCGAAAAATTAATGAAAAGAAGTTAAAATTTGAAGAAACTTAACATTTACAATTATGAGTTACTCACCCAATGACTGTCTATAAACATCAACAGGCCGTCAACCCAGAGCATTAATTTACAATTCTTTACCACTACATGAAAGTTCCTTGTAAAGTTAAATAAATATAATTAAACAATTCCACCATTTATAACAGATGTAATCCACATTCTTCACTAGGTATAAGGTTCATATAGATTACAGGTGTAGTTACCTGTACTGGGAACAACGTAACAAATTGATAACTATAGAGGCAGACAAGTTAATAATGCCAAGGTTGACTGAAGTTATTTTGGCGGCTAACTTAAGAAGGATTCTGTTACTGTACAGGAGCTTAAGAGCCAACCAGGTGAAGGTACTTGGGGGGTAAGAGAAGGACTGAATATAAATGGAAAATTAAACTAAAGGCAAAAGACTTAATCCTTGTTGGATGTATTTATAGATCACAGAACTGAAGTTTATTAAGCCAAGCCAGTTTAAAAGCATTAATACTGTACACAGCATTATGGGCTACTGGCGACACTGACTGGAGGAATGAAATTACACTGAGAAACAGGAATGCAGACACTATGCTGAATATCACAGCCAGTAAACCGTTTGATAAAATATACTGTACTGTATACTCCAGACCAAACCCACCGACTCAACACAGTCCATTCAGATTGTATGAACACTGAGCAAGATAGCCAGTCCGATTCCAAATGAAGTCAAAGCCTCAAAATCTTTCTACATGTGGGCACATCAGACTCTTGACTAAGATCATAGTTACACACTTAGATCAGGGCAAGACGAGAGGCGTTAATGAGTGTTCACAAGAGGATGTAAACCTCCCATGTGTTTGGGGAGTGGCAACAATGACATGTTCTCATTCATGTATTAAAACACATTATCAAAACTGAACTTGGTAAAATAGCAGTTTCGGCCAATATGCCCCGTTAGTTTATCCTGTGTATTTTGGTGTGACAATCTAATTTGACCTTTAATTCCGGGGGAAAGTAACAGTTTGTTATCCCCCAAAAGTATGGAAAAACTTCAAGATTCATTTCTGTCATTCTTGGCCCCCTGGTTGAAATGGGGTTAGAAATACTCCCAATAAGGAGACGTAAAGGTTGGGATGGTTAGAACAGTCCGCCGTGTATTGGTCCAAACTGCACTAACACCATAAAGGTACAGACAGTAGAGCCCTGATGGCGAGCTTCAGGTGTTAAGATGTACAATGAGCTTCCTGACCTCATTAAATCTCGTTGTACAGAAGCATAAACAAGCACAACGTTCCCCCAATGACTGGAAAAGGACATACCCAAGTCCTATATTGAAACAGATGACGTATGAATAACAGTATTAAGAGTGATTGGCATATTGTGTAAAGTAGAGCCAATTGGTTAATGCTATTGTCCAGCTTATAGACAGGCAAGGTGTGACTTAATAAAAGTTTATAAACATGTAATAGGTCATTACTCATGTCTGGTGTTCATAACTAGCAGAAGCCCGCCCCACTAGAGGCCACAGCTTATGGTTGATGCCACAAGTCCAGAAAACTTTAATGCATTTTTTTTTGTAGCGAGTTGTGAACTGTTGGAACAATCTGCTGTGACGGCACCGAGTGAGAGCCGTTTTGTGACTACAGTACAGTACTTGCCAACAGTGTAACATAGCTAGTACATAATAAATGCCCAGTACTTGCCAACAGTGAGTACATGCCCAGTACTTTCCACAGTAACAGGAGAGCCAGTACATGCCAACTGTAACAGCCAGTTCATGCCCAGTACTTGCCAAAAATGTAACAATCGGTACTTGCCCAGTACACTTGCCAACGTCGTCTAGATGCGTTCGACCGTCTCTAGACCCCAGTGGCAAAGTTTAAAGTGAAGTAGACTTTACATTTCACCTCAAAACAAACTTTCTAACCTCAGCCAATAAGGTGACCCACGCTGACGACCATTGATGCAGCAAACTGGTCTGCAGCACGACAGCGACACAACCAATTGGATCCATCATCTGTAAAGAAATGAAAAAGTTTATGAGGAACAAACAAGTATTAACGGAGTGTTTACGGTGACCAAAACTAAACCATATTTTATTAATTTAAATAAAAGCACTAGCCAAAACTAGTATAGTATTCTCTATAGTAACTAGTCAATGTGATAGTTAACGACCATTAACCTATGCTTGTTCATTAACTCGTCATTGTGTATCTTCAATATTATTTAAGTCTGTTTAAATTATTTCCTTTTAAAATAAATCACTTGGTACAAAATCGAATAATAAATTTAACCACTGAAATAAATTGAAAATAAAACAAACTATACCTTTAAAGATCAACGTCTGTCAGGTGAGAGAGACGACCGGCAGCACTTCCACCTCGGCGTCTCCAGGAGCACTGCGGCCACCAGCCAATCACTGCTCTATATTACTTGTCTTCCTGCCAAGCCTTGTCCGAATGAGGAATCATAACAAAATATATACAACCTCAATCGTATATACAAATTTCAATACAAATTTTAAGGTAAATTTTGGTGTAAATTAATTTATATCGTAATATAGAAAAAATAACAATCAGGAAAACTTTACGGAAAAATAAATACAAAGATAAATACAATAATATAATCCAAATTCTTCAGCTTCGGAGACAGTCATTTGTTGACCATTCAGGGCTGCCAACATCACCGATTTACTCAACTGTATCGTACCCTAATGGGTAGTTATCGCTGATTGGTAATAGATAGATAGATAGATAGATAGATACATGCATACATACATACATACATACATATATATACAGATAGATACACAGGCCGGTCAGTGGCGAAGAAGATAAAGAGAAGTAATTTCAATACACCTTGTCACATATCAGTTGAGACATTGCTACATAACTACTTGACAAATTTCATAACCGAATGACAGAACACATATCGAATGATAATCTAAAATAACTGTTGGTGGTCTGTCATTCTCCAATTGTTACATTCTCAAACTATATGTAGACGTCGGTTTATTGTTCACATCTGTCAACTTCATAACTTATGTCAATCATTTCCATTAGCATGAACGAACAGTTATTTTAGATTGTCATTCGATATGTGTTCTGTCATTCGGTTATGAAATTTGTCAAGTAGTTATGTAACAATGTCTCAACTGATATGTGACAAGGTGTATAATTATACACTTTTTATTGTATTATATAATACAATAAAAAGTAAAACAGTTACCCATAAAAGATTCGTTTTCTCTTATAATGTCATCAAAAAAAACGAACAAACGTAAATAAACTGTAACGTGAATGAGATTAAATACCAGACTAATTAAATGACTTTGAATGAGATTAAAAGCGGAATTAAATGACCTTGAGATTAAAAGCCGTATTAAATAACTTTGAGTGGGATTAAAACTATTACTATAGTATTAATTAAAATAATAACAATAACAATAATTAAACTATGGCTTATTTGTGCTGGACACATTATAGAAATGCCATAGAAGAGTGTCCCAGGGAGTGCCAGAGTGTTCCAGCGTGTCCCAGGGAGTGCCAGAGTGTTCCAGCGTGTCCCAGGGAGTGCCAGAGTGTTCCAGCATGTCCCAGGGAGTGCCAGAGTGTTCCAGCATGTCGCTGGGAGTGCCAGAATGTCCCAGGGAGTGCCAGAGTGTTCCAGCGTGTCCCAGGGAGTGCCAGAGTGTTCCAGCATGTCCCAGGAGCCAGAGGCACCAGGCATGTCCCTGAAGTGCCATGTCCCAGGGAGTGCCAAATCAGCATGTCCCAGGGAATGCCAGAGTGTTCCAGCGTGTCCAGGGAGTGCCAGAGGTTCCAGCATGTCCCAGGAAGTGAAAGAGTGTTCCAGCAAGTCCCAAGGAGTGCCAGAGTTTCCAGCGTGTTCCAGGGAGTGCCAGAGTGTACCAGGGAGTGCCAGAGTATACCAGGGAGTGCCAGAGTGTACCAGGGAGTGCCAGAGTGTTCCAGCGTGTTCCAGGAGCGCCAGAGTGTACCAGGGAGTGCCAGAGGTACTAGGAGTGCCAGAGTGTACCAGGAGTGCCAGAGTGTACCAGGGAGTGCCAAAGTGTACCAGGGAGTGCCAGAGGTACCAGGGAATGCCAGTGCGTACCAGAGGCCAGAGTGTACCAGGAGTGCCAGAGTGTCCAGGAGTGCCAAGAGTACCAGGGAGTGCCAGAGGTAAGGGAGTACCAGTGCGTACCAAAGAGTGCCAGGAGGTACCAGGAGTGCCAGAGTGTACCAGGAGGCCTGAGTACCAGGAGTGCCAGAGTGTTCCAGGAGTGCCAGACCCAGGGAGTGCCAGAGTGTACTAGGAGTGTGTGTGTGCCAGGAGTGCCAGAATGTACCAGGAGTGCCAGAGTGTTCCAGGGAGTGCCAGAGAGTACCAGGGAGTGCCAGAGTGTACCAGGGAGTGCCAGTGCGTACCAAGAGTGCCAGAGTGTACAGGGAGTGCCAGAGTGTACCAGGAGTGCCTGAGTACCAGGAGTGCCAGAGTGTCCAGGAGCAGTGTCCCAGGGAGTGCCAGAGGTACTAGGAGTGCCAGAGTGTCTGGGAGCAGTGTGCCAGGGAGTGCCAGAATGTACCACGGAGTGCCAGAGTGTACCAGGAGTGCCAGAGGTTCCAGGGAGTGCCAGAGTGCACTTAGGAGTGCCAGAGTGTTCCAGGGAGTGAAAGAGTGTTCCAGGGAGCGCCAGAGCGTACCAGGAGTGCTGAGTATACCAGGAGTGCCAGAGTGTAGGAGTGCCAGAGGTTCAGCGTGTTCCAGGGAGTGCCAGAGGTACCAGGGAGTGCCAGAGTGTACCAGGAGTGCCAGAGTGTACCAGGGAGTGGAGTGTACCAGAGGCCAAAGTGTACCAGGGAGTGCCAGAGTGTACCAGGGAGTGCCAGTGTACCAGAGAGAGTGCCAGAGTGTACCAGGGAGTGCCAGAGTGTTCAGGAGTGCCAGAGAGTACCAGGGAGTGCCAGAGTGTACCAGGGAGTACCAGTGCGTACCAAAGAGTGCCAGAGATTAGGAGTGCCAGAGGTACCAGGGAGTGCCTGAGTGTACCAGGGAGTGCCAGAGTGTTCCAGGGAGTGCCAGTGTGTCCCAGGGTGCCAGAGTGTACTAGGAGTGCCAGTATGCAGGAGTGCCAGAATGTACCAGAGTGCTAGAGTGCCCAGGAGTGCCAGAGAGTACCAGGGAGTGCCAGAGTGTACCAGAGTACCAAAGAGTGCCAGAGTGTACCAGGGTGCCAGAGTGTACCAGGAGTGCCTGAGTGTACCAGGAGTGCCAGAGTGTTCAGGAGTTCCAGTGTACCCAGTGAGTGCCAGAGCAACAGGAGTGCCAGTGTGTACCAGGGAGTGCCAGAGTGTTCCAGGGAGTGCCAGTGTGTGCCAGAGTGCCAGAATGTACCAGGAGTGCCAGAGTGTACCAGGGAGTGCCAGAGGTTCCAGGAGTGCCAGAGTGTACCAGGGAGTGCCAGAGTGTTCCAGGGAGGAAATAGTGTTCCAGGAGTGCCAGAGCGTACGGGGAGGCCAGAGCATACCAGGGAGTGCCAGAGTGTACCAGGGAGTGCCAGAGGTACCAGGGATTACCAGAGTGTTCAGGGAGGCCAGTATGTCCCAGGGAGTGCCAGAGGTACCAGGGAGTGCCAGAGGTTCCAGGAGTGCCACTGTGTCCCAGGGAGTGCCAGAGTGTCCCAGGGAGTGCCAGAGTGTACCAGGGAGTGCCAGAGTGTTCCAGCGTGTCCCAGGGAGTGCCAGAGTGTCCCAGGAAGTGCCAGAGTGTTCCAGGGAGTGTCCCAGGGAGTGCCAGAGTGTCCCAGGAGGGCCAGAGTGTCCCAGAGTGCCAGAGTGTCCCAGGGAGTGCCAGAGTGTACCAGGGAGTGCCAGAGTGTTCCAGTCCCGGGAGTGCCAGTGTGTCCCAGGAAGTGCCAGAGTGTCCCGGGAGTGCCAGTGTGTCCCAGGAAGTGCCAGAGTGTGAGGGCCAAGTGTCCCAGAGTGTACCAGAGTGTCCCAGGAACGAGTGTTCCAGTGTGTCCTGGGAGTGCCAGAGTGTTCCAGGGTGTTCCAGGAGTGCCAGAGAACAGGTGTCCCAGGGAGTGCCGAGTGTACCAGCGTGTCCCAGGAGTGCCAGAGTGTTCCAGAGTGTCCCAGGAGTGCCAGAGTGTTCCAGGAGTGTCCCAGGAGTGCCAGAGTGTTCCAGAGTGTCCCAGGGAGTGCCAGAGTGTTCCAGTGTGTCCCAGGGAGTGCCAGAGTGTTCCAGGAGTGTCCCAGGGAGTGCCAGAGGTGCACCCCAGGAGTGTCCCAGGAGTGCCAGAGTGTCCCAGGAGTGCCAGAGTGTTCCAGGAGGTGCCAGAGTGTCCCAGGAGTGCCGAGTGTCCAGAGTGTCCCAGGGAGTGCCAGAGTGTTCCAGGGTCCCAGGGAGTGCCAGAGTGTTCCAGAGTGTCCTGGGAGTGCCAGAGTGTCTACGGAGTGCCAGAGTGTTCCAGAGTGTCCCAGGAGTGCCAGATGTTCCTGCATGTCCCAGGGAGTGCCAGAGTGTTCCAGAGTGTCCCAGGAGTGCCAGAGTGTTCCAGAGTGTCCCAGGGAGTGCCAGAGTGTTCCAGAGTGTCCCAGGAGTGCCAGAGTGTTCAGGTCCCAGGGAGTGCCAGAGTGTCTCAGGAGTGCCAGAGTGTCCAGAGGTCCCAGGGAGTGCCAGAGTGTCCCAGGAGTGCCAGGTGTTCCAGAGTGTCCAGGGAGTGCCAGTGTGTCCGGGCCAGAGTGTACCAGGGAGTGCCAGAGTGTCCCAGTGAGTGCCAGAGTGTTCCAGAGAGTGCCAGAGTGTACCAGGAGTGCCAGAGTGTACCAGGGAGTGCCAGAGTGTTCCAGGGAGTGCCAGGAGTGTACCAGGAGGCCAGAGTGTACCAGGGAGTGCCAGAGGTACCAGGAGTGCTAAAGTGTACAAGGGAGTGCCGGAGTGTTCCAGGAGGCCAGAGTGTTCCAGGAGTGCCAGAGTGTACCCAGGAGTGCCAGAGTGTTCCAGGAGTGCCAGAGTGTACCAGGGAGTGCCAGAGTGTACCAGGGAGTGCTAAATGTACAAGGGAGTGCCGGAGTGTTCCAGGGAGTGCCAGAGTGTACCAGGGAGTGCCAGAGTGTACCAGGGACTGCCAGAGTGTTCCAGGGAGCGCCAGAATGTACCAGGGAGTGCCAGAGTGTGCCACGGAGTGTCAGAGAGTGTACCAGGGAGTGCCAGAGTGTGCCAGGGTGTCAGACAGGAGTGCCAGAGTATGCCAGAGTGCATCAGGGAGTGCTAAAGTATACAAGGGAGTGCCGGAGTGTTCCAGGGAGTGCCAGAGTGTTCCAGGGAGTGCCATGTTCCAGGGAGTGCCAGAGTGTACCAGGGAGTGCCAGAGTGTATCAGGGAGTGCCAGAGTGTACCAGGAGTGCCAGAGTGTATCAGGGAGTGCCAGAGTGTTCCAGGGAGTGCCAGA